CCAAGGGGTCAAGATGGGGCCTGGGAGAGGATTTAAGGGTTAAGGGACTGGAGGTCACAATGCCAATGAAGAGTAGGATTTGGTAAGAGGAGGCAGAGAGAGAGGTGGAAAGCTAGTAGATTATAGTCAGATAAGGGCATTTCAGAATTCTTGAACATGGAGGTGGTACATTTGTGGGTAATGGCAAGATCAAGGGTACGGCCATCTTTGTGTGTGGCTGAGGTGGGGTGGAGCAGTAGCTCATGGGAGTTGAGTAGGTTGAGGAACTGGGTGGTTGGGGTGTTTCAGGGAGAATCAGTATGTATGTTGGAGTCCCCTAGTATTAGGGCATAAGTTGTGGAAGAGAAAAACATTTTCAGCCTGGTACCAAACTCACTGAGGAAGGAAGGGGAGTGACTTGGGGATCTGTAGGCAACAGCTACTGGGATTTTGATTGAGTGGTAGATAAGAACTTTATGGATGAGGAAACTGAGGCAAACAGGGTTAAATGACTTGCCCAGAGTCACACAGCTAATAAGTGTTTGAGGCCAGATTTGAACTTGGAGAGATGAGTCTTTCTGGTTCCAGACCTAGCACTCTATCCACTGTACCACCTAGCAACCCTAAAATGAGCTGGAGAAGAAAATGGCAAACAGCTCCAGTATCTTTGGGCCTGGATGGTGCAATGGGTAGAGTGCTAGGCCTAGAGTCAGGAAGATCTGAGTTCAAATTTGGCCACAGACGCTTTACAGAGAAGGAAATGGAAAACCACTCCTGTATCTTTGCCAAGAAAACTCCAAATGGGGTCATGAAGTGTTGCGCATGACTAAAATGTCTGAACAACAACAGATATGAATAGTGTGAACCTGGAATAATATTCCATTAATTAATGCATCAGTTTGTTGAGCCATTCCTCAACTAATGGTCACCAGTTCTTTGCTTTTCTTTCCCTTCTTTAGGATCAAGAAGTTTGTTTTGTTTGTGACTATTCCTTCACTGGTATTTTCCTCCCTCTTAATCCTTTCTTTCCCTGTCCTAGCCTGTTTTCCTGTTGTGTTTGATGCATGCCCACACCATACTCTGTGTGTGTGTGTATGTGTGTGTGTGTGTGTGGTGCATGTGCATGTGCACGTATGTGAGTGAGGCTCATCTGATGCTTGTTTTTCCTTCTCCGCCCTCCTCCCCAATGCCCTTCTCCATATTTGTATACTTTTCTTGCACACTCCCTTTTATAACTCCCTTCCTAGAATCGGTCCACTCTTGGGTATCTTCAGTTTTTCTTATTACACATTGAAAACATTAAAGTTCTAAAGGGACACATGGTTCTTCTCTCTCTATTAGAATGTTAACATGATATCATCATTATAGTCCAACAGTTCAAATAAATTTACGTATCTCGGTTTCTCTGGACTCTTGTGTTTGCATTTCATAGTCCTATTCAGCTCTGATCTCTTCATCAGGAATACTTGAAAGTCTTCTGTTCCATTAAAGGTCCATTTTCTCCTGTAGGATTTTGCTCAGCTTTGCAGTGTAAATAATCCTTTATCATAAGTCTATGTTTTTGCCTTTTGGAATATTGTATTCCAATATCTCCTCATTTTTAGTATAAGCAGCCAGGTCTTATGTGATCCTAATTGGTTTCTTGAACTCCTTGCTAGCTTATTACAATTATTTTACTTTGATGTGGTAGCTCTTGCTTTTGGCCATGACATTCCTGGGACTTTTCCTTTTGAGATTTCTTTCAAGAGGTGATCGGTGGAGTCTATCTTCACTTTACCCTTTGGCTCTAATAAATCTGGGCCACTTTCATTTATTATTTTTCAGAATATAGTTTCCAGGGCTTTAAAAATTTTAAATCATAAGTTTTCAGAGAGTTTAATGATTTTTAAGTGATCCCTCCTTGACTTGTTTTCCAAATCAGTTGTTTTTTCATTTGAGAGATATTTATTGATTTCTGTTTTGTCCATTCCAATTTTTAGGGAATCTAGTAGTTCATTAAGATTTACCCCTTTCCCCCATACCTCACTTATTTTTCTTTCAATTCTTTCCTCCAGCACTTTTATTTCATTTTTATCTTGCTCCATTTTTTTCCCTAGGTATTCATGTACTGCTTGTGGAAAGTCCATTTTTTCCTTTGAGTCTTGGCTTGTAGTTATGGAGAAACTCTCCACGTGGATTTTTGGGTATCTCTGATGTGTTATAGTGTTTTATAGTTGTCTGTATCTTCTTTGGTTTACTCACCTCTCCAGCTTTAGTTCTTGAATTGGGGCTTTGTACTGTTGGTGTTTGTCCTTCGTTCTCAAAGAGGACCAATGACATCAAGAGAGTGATGTCTTGACTTGCAAGTGAATTGGATTTAAGCGAGGCAGAGCTGTGCAAAGTCATCAGCCTTAACTTTCTCCTCCAGAGTCACTGGGGAGTCCAGTGGCAAGACATAAGTCAAGATGACACGCCATGGCTACGGATGCAGGGGGAGACCTTTATAAGCTAAGGTCTTTCCCAGGTCTCAGTTTGTCTGAGGCAATGCCCAGACAGTGATTAAAGGCTAGGTTGGAATTGAGATAAAAGATGGCCTAGTTTGTCTTCCCAAAAGAATCAATCTGGGAAGGGAAGACCCTCCGAGTTTCTGACCAGAACAGAAAACAATTTGCTATTTTGCACTCACTCTGAGCCATCAAAACCCAAACAATGAGCAAGTGAGGCTTGGGCTGGGACCTATTATTGGCCAATCAGTGAAAGCCAGAGTGATTTGGGTTTAAAGGCATAGTCAAGTAGCTTCATTTGAATTACCATGGGCTTTTTCAGAGCCTGTTTTTTCAGAGCTATATTTCAAGAAATCATAAATGAAACTACAACCAGACAAAAGAGCTAACTGTCCCAGCTTTTTGAAAAAATACTGATAGAATATATAAATACAGAAGAAAAGATTTAATCCTCAAATCCCAATAAAAGATTTGCAAGATACCTTGTGAAGTATGTGATCAAAAAATTATATTCCTTTGGACAAAGCACCCACATGTAAGGGTATGATTCCCCATGTGGACAGAAGGACAGAAGGAGGAGAAACAGGAGAAGGAGAAAGAAGGAGAAGAATGGAGAAGAAGAAAGAGGAAAAGGGAGAAGAAGGGGGAGAAGGAGAAGGAGAAGAAGAATGATAGCATCATTGCCCAACTTGCACTGACTGGCTGAGTTCCCAGGGAGCAGCTGCTACTACTTACGGATTGTTGTTTGTCCTTCATTCTTGAAGAGGAAAATGACATCAGGAGAGTGATATCTTGACTTGCAAGTGAATTGGATTTAAGTGAGGCAGGGCTGTACAAAGTCATCAGCCTTAACTCTCTCCTCCAGAGTCACTGGGAGTCCAGTGACAAGACATAAATCAGGAGGACTGGCAATGGCCCTGGCTTTGTGCTAGAGCCAAGCTTTGTCTCCTGTGCTTTTGGGTGGGGTGGCCAACCCTACTCTATCTTGACCTAGATCATTTGGGTTCTTGTGCTGATCTCCAGGGTTAGGCCACCTGGATCTTTGAGGGTCAGAGTGAATCTTTGGGGCTCTGTATGGCATCTCAGAGCAGACTGCTAGAGACTGCAGAGCTCCTTGGTTCTGGGTGTCCTTGTCAGAGTACTGGCTGCTGTGACCACTGTTTCTTGTCTCTCCTGGTTGTTTCTAAGGAACCTTCCATTTTTGCTGCTTCAGGATACAGACCCTTGCAGGTCACAGTATCTGCTTAAGCTGGGAGATTTCTGGTTTGATTTGATTGGTGGCTCTGGCTTTGGTAGTGGAGCCCTATTTTTTAATTGCTACAGGCTTCTGAATGACTTTTTGTGTAATTCTGAGGTGGATAAAGTTGCTTATTATAGTCTTCTCATTGTATTTCTTGATCATTATTTTAAACTTTTATTTGCTCGAATAGATGTGGTGGACCTGGGCTTTCTGCCTCCGTTCAGGCAGCTGTCTTTGCCAAGAGTCTACCATTTATTTTTTAGAGACCTTCTTGCTTGAGCTGCCAAGCTAAACTAGCCAATTCTCTTTTTAAAAAAATATCATAACAATGATCAACTATGAAAGCCTTAGCTACTCTGATTAATACAGTGAGTCAAGACAACTCCAAAGGAACCATGATGAAAAATGCTCTTCACCTTCAGAGAGAGAACTGATAAACTCTGAATGCAAATTGAAGCTTACTTTTTTACTTTCTTTTTTTCTTTTTTTTTTCTTTCTTTTTTTTTGGCAACATGACTGATATGGAAATATGTTTGCCTAACTTGTATAATTGATATCATATTGATGATATCTCAATGGGTGGGGGAAAGGCAGGGGAAATAGAGAATTTGGAACTCAAAATTTTAAAAAAGTGAGTGTTTTTACAAACAACATTTTGTAAACTGAAATTCAGTGACAAAAGAATTTGCATTTGCCTATTACTAATGGATTCTGTGCCTGAAGCAGGAGAAATAGCTAAGCCCAAGTTATTCTACTTAAGCCTAAATGTATGTACAGAAACACTGTGAATTTTAATGAACTAAGAAGTCAGAAGGCAAAAGTGAAAATGAGACCCTTGTAAACTCAGATGATTCTGATAATCAGTTGATAAGCACTTGTTAATTGCTTATGATGTTCCAAGCCCTGTGGTAAGCCCTGAAGATATGAAGAAAGGCAGAAACAGTCCCTGCTCTCAAGGAGCTTACATTCTAATCGGGGAGAAATCATATAAATAAATAGGTACATACAAGATATATACAGAGTAGATAAAAGGTAACCTTAGAAGGGAAGGGTCCAGCACCTGAGGGAGGACTGTGGTATAACAGAGCCTCAAAAATGTTTGGTGAATGAATAATGTTTTATCCCCTTCTGCCACAGCCACCAGAAAGATTAAGCATTTTTTTAAAAGGATAAGTTTCTGCCTTTTGTGCTTTTAGATCTAATACCTTCTGAAACATCTCAAAGCTCTCCTGACGATGGAAGAAGAGAAATGTTAAATTGGATTTGTCTTTTTCGTGACAAAGTTTTTTTCTCCCCAGGAGTGCAAATGTATAGAAACTGAAAAGGCCCTACTGAAAGATGAGATCAAACAATATAAGATGAAAGAATTGCGTCAGCTGCAAGACACTGCAGAATTGAAAGAAGAAAATCTCTCCTTACAGAAGCAAATTTCCTGTTTGAAGGAGACCCAGGTAAGTGGGTCTCGGATTCCATCCACTGTAGTTACTGGAAGCTCCCAATGGACTTTGGTCATCTTGTTATTTTCTTCTTGAAACCCTTGACAGATAGAAAGATGAAACATTTAATAAGTGTCTACTATGTACCAAGCACTATGCTAAGCACCAGGGACACAAATCCAGGAAAAGAAGACAGTCGCTTACTTCTAATTGGAGAAGAGAAAACAAAGGGGAGGTGCAGGGAGGCTAGGGGCAGCTAAGTGGCACTTCAGTGGCTAGAGCACCAGGGCCTGGAGTCAGGAAGACCTCAGTTCAGATGTGGCCTCGGATACTTACTAGCTATGTGACCCTGGGCAAGTCACTTCACCCTTTTGGCCTCAGTTTTCTCATCTGTAAAATGAGCTAGAGAAGGAGATGGCAAAGTGCTCCAGTATCTTTGCCAAGAAAACCTCAAATGGGGTCACGAAGAGTTGCATATGACTGAAATGACTGAACTACAATGACAGTGGAAGGGAGTTGAGAGAGGACAGAATTGCTGAGGCAGTGGAGCATTCCACAGAGTGAATTGAGCCTGAAGTAAAGTGAATATGGCTGGGGTCCCTCAAGCAATGGGTATCTGGCCAGGGACTCACCCATCAGGAGACCAGTGACCAGTCATTATGTCACTAGAGCAGAGCTGGAACTAGGCATTTATGTGTCTCATGCAAGGTTTGAAAATTGTGCCTTGGGGATTGTTCTCCCCCGAATATTTAGGGGCACCAAGGAAAAAACATGGCTTAGCAGCAGAAAAATAAATCCCTCCTTGCCATGGAAGATGGTATTGGAAGAGGATTGCTCATTGTTGCCTACTGTTTACCTGTTCTAGACACCTCACCCCCACGAAGCGGGCTCTACTGTAGAACATCCTTCTGACTTGAAGTCTTACTTAAAAATGAATTGTTGAGAAAGGATTTGGACTTTAAGATCTTTGAAAGCAGGGGCATCCAGCCTCTTGGTAGTAAGGTACTCCTGAAGCTTGAGATCACTACGCTGGTGTGGGCTTCTGGCCATGGTTTTGCTCGATTGGCTTTTGAGTCCCAAGGATGGGGCAAGGGTAGTAGCTTCCCCAAGAAACCCTTGGATGGGTGTTCTTCTTGGTCAGCTAGTGGGTGGATTGGTTTTTTTAAGCTATCTGGCTCTGAAATAGTCCCTATAGTTTTAAAAAGGAAATGCCCAGTGTTTTGGGAGAGGCATTTAAAATGATAGCACATGCATTGGAGAACTCTCCAAGTGCCCTGTGAATGTAAGGTGCAAAGTCTGGGTGTTTGACAGGTTTTATAGCAGATGTGATGATTTTGTTTTGTTTTGTTTTGTTTTGTTTTTGAGGGTGTGTGTAGGCAGATCACATGAGGCCCTCATAGAGCCAGTGATCTCTTCAGTCCTTATTTTTAAATTTTTTATTAAAGTTGTATTGATGCCTGTCTTTATATCAGCAATTTCCAGACAGTCCCTTCTTCTCTGTGCTTTCTCTCACCCCAACATAGCCAGCAAGTCATGGATATTTTTTAAAGTATCTCCCAAGGTACCAGAATTCTTATTAAAGTCCTTTCCTGCCTTAATTGAATTCAGTGCTCATTATGAGCCTGGCATCATGGCAGGGGCTATAATACTCTAAGGACAGCAATGAATGACTAGATTCTTCTCTGAGCCACTGTTGAGATGGAATCCTGATAATGAATTTTATTTTATTTTATTTTTAGACAATTGGGGTTAAGTGACTTGCCCAGGGTCACACAGCTAGTAAGCGTCAAATGTCTGAGGCCGGATTTGAACTCAGGTCCTCCTGACTTCAGAGCCGGTGCTCCATCCACTGTGTCACCTACTACCCCAATATCCTGATATTGAGCCTAGAGATGGGATTCTAGCCTTTTCTGCAAGTGCCATATGTTTACTATGCACTTTGGGTACATTTTTTGGTTTTGTGTCCCCAGAACCCTGCACAGGACTTGACACACAGGGAGGATGCACACAGTGCTGCTCATTGTACTTGACTAAATGTTCCCTTAGAGCAGTTTTCTCAGACTATTAAATTAGATCATAGGTGACAACAGGACAAGGCTGACCAGGAGCCAGTGTTCAGCTAGCCAGAATGGTGTAAGTCAGGTGGTCTGTCATCTAGAACAGAGAACGATGCAGCTGCTGGACATACATCTAGGCAGATAAAGTCAAACAGCAGACTTCAGGAATAGATAGGTCAAGAGACTCAGAAATAGGGGACTCGGGCAAGAAGTCTGAGCAATGAGGGTTCTGAATTCAAGCAAGGGTCTGTGTAATAGGCACCACCAGCAGGAATGGAACTTGATATCAAGCCACAGACTTGGAGCCAGGAGCTGTCTTGTAGACTTCCAGCCCAGAGTCAGAATTGATCTTTGACTGATTCTCCTTCCAAGGACAGACAGATAGGGACACCTGACTGGAGTGAAGAGGTAACAACAAGGTAATTTTTTTCTTTAAGAATTTTTTTTTGAATGCGAACCTAAACATTGATGAAGATAAGAATTTCCACATTCAAAGTAGAATAGAAAAAGAAGATTGTTTATAGAATATAACACTGTAGCTATTACTTACAGTTTCCCTTTCCTTTTAAGTATACGATAAATTTATCTTGTAACTTTCAAAGCTATCCTGCTTGTCTGCGTTTCCTTCTGGCCTTTTTCCTGTTTTCTGTACATTTAAAAAAATGCTTCAATGGGCCTCTTTTTTTCCACTTAAAAACTCTATTGCTATTCCCTCCTCTCTCCTCCAACTACGCCCCCTCCTCCAACACACACACACACACACACACACACACACACACACACACACACACACACACACGAAAAATAAAAACAGAACTCTTGTAGCAAATATGCACAGTCAAGCAAAACTAATTCTCACATTAGCCACCTCCAAAAATGTATATATCTCATTCTGCACCTTATATATAATTATTCTGGCTCTGTTTACCTTACTGCATCAGTTCATACAAGTCTTCCCAAGGTTTCTTTTTCATCATTTCTTACAGTGCAATGATAATATTCTATTGCATTCATATACCATAATTTGTTCAGTTCTTCTCCAAATGATGGACTTTACCTTAGACTGTGAATTCTTTGGGGACTAGGATTTTTGTTTTTTGTTTTTTGCCTTTTCTTTGAATCGCTGATGCTGAGCATAGTGATTGGCATTGACTGAATTTGTCCATGTGAGTCTTCATTCTTTGATCTTTTTGAGCTATAGGCCTGATAGCAGTATCACTGAGTCACAGTCACAATTTAGTGACTTTGGGGGCATGGTTCCAGATTGCTTTCTAAAATGGCCAGACCAATTCACAGCTCTCCCAACAGTGTATTAATGTGCCTGTTTTCCTGCAACAATTGTAATTTCCCTTTTTTGCATTCTTTGCTGAGATGGAACCTCAGGATTGTTTTACTTTACATTTCTGAAATTTTTAGTAATTTGGAGCATTTTGTCACATAATTGTTGATAGCTTGGATTTCTTCTTTGAGAACTACCTGTTCCTATCCTTTGATTCTTATCTGTTGGGGAATGGCTCTGCACAAGGTAGTTTCTAGCATAAGTGAGGTGAAATGTAAATTCACAATCATGAGCTGCACAAAATCATGAGCTAAATAACTGGTTTAGGAAAAGACATTTTACTTTCATTTCAGGCGGAGTATGAAGGCTTAAGACGCGAAGTTCAGAGAAGAGATGAAGAAATTGAGCTTAGAAACACTCGTCTGGCTGAAGTAACTCGACAGAAGGAGATCTCTGACCATCATCTAGAGGAGGCCTTGGAAACCCTCCAGAGTGAGCGAGAACAAAAAAATGAGCTGCGCAGGGTGCTGTCTGGGTACATCAACACCTACGATTCCTTAGGGACTCTGCCGACAAATTTCGATGACCTGAATCAGTGTAATGATGATGGCCTGGGCATTGGCTACAACAATCAAGTCTTCAGGAACCGCAGAGAAAACATGATGTCCATGCCTCAAAATAGCAACAGCTCCAGGCCCCAGCCTGGCTTAGTGTGTGATCTTTTGAGTGAGCTCAGTTTATCAGAGATTCAGAAACTGAACCAGCAGCTTCTGCAGGTAGGAGGGCTCTTTTCTGTGTGTTTGTCAGCTAGGCAGCATGAGGATCTAAACGTAAATGAGCCTCTTAGAAGAGTTCAGCACTCCAGTCCAAGGTGGCAAAATACTTCTGAGAAGTACTCGGCTGGCTTTCTTTTGCTGAGCTGTTTCTAGACTTCCTTCAGTGGAACAAACCTGGTGGCCTTAGTGTACCTTTGTCTCTAGGGCTTTCAAAGGTGAGATAGGTGAGGAGTGCTAGTGGGGCTCAGCAGTGGCAGAGACGCAGTGATGATCTGCAGATATGATGAAAGGGGACTAGGATGTGGAAAGTCAAAGGCATTTTCTCCACAAATGACTTTTCCTGAAAAAAAAAAGATTCAGACATTTGGAGCACGTCTTAAAATAAGCCAATGAGAAAACACCTTCGAGGTGGTCGAGGAGTTGTAACATTACCTCTCTGAGACTTGTTGCAGAAACAAGATGCCCTCGATTTTGCTCTCCTGACATTTGGAAGATCATATGATAAATTCTTAGCCATTTGGCAACTCAGACATTTTCTTCAAAGAGAGTTATCTGAAACATCTTGTTTCCCATGCTTCCATGGGTATTTTGACCTCTCACTCATTCTTGAAATAGCTTTGAGATTGGTGATTGGTAACAATTGCCCAGCTTTTCAGGAACAGGAAATAAGGTTTAGGATGAATTGGGAACTGCCTATCTCTGAGTCTGTTCCACTTGAAAACATGTACATGGCTATTATAAATGTTTGTTGAAATGAGTTGGCAATCATTCTGCCTCATTAGGAATATTCTGGGCTGAACAGTTTTTGCTAAATCAAACTGAAACCAGTGTGGCCCATGACAATAAACGAATTATATCCCAGCATAACATCATTAGATAGCTAGCTAGCTGGATAGACAGACAAATGACAGAGCAAACATTTATTAAGCTTCTACTGTGTGCCAGACACTACTGAGTTTTAGGGCTATAAATACAAGAACACAAGACAGTATGTGCCTTCCAGGAATTTATTTTCCAACGGGGGAAGACATTGCCAAAAGAATAGAGGATCGCCTTAAGCCTACCTGTTCTAAAAGGGCTAGATTAAAGTGCTGAGAACTTGGGCTCTTAAATAAATTGGATGGAGAAGAATCCACTATAGGAGGCAGCATGGTACACTAGAAAAAGCCCTGTCTCTGGAATCAGAGGTCCCTGGGGGGACCTGGATTCAAATCCTGCCTCTGACACTTACAACCTGTGTGACTCAGTAAGAGAGAATCTAGTTATGACCAGATAACCTCTGAGTCCTTTCTACCTCTAGATCTTGGAGCCTTTGAATCTGTCCCTTTAAGGAAACAGGCCTCCTGTCCCTTGTCTGTTGCTGGTAGCATTTGACTTGGCCTGGCTCTAGTATCTTAAAAGCATCTGAAAAGCACTTTCTCAGAAAATGGTATCCCTACCATCCCATGATGGGAAGGCTTTTTGCTAATGATAATGGGACCATAATGTGCCTTTGCTTCTAATGCGCTGTGTTGTACAGTAGCTGCTGACACCTCATTTAACAGTGAGTGACTCAGCTTTTCTTTTTAAGAGGATTCTTTTTTAAAAGAATATTTGCCTCTGGAAAATTACTTCCCCCGCTCTAAATCATTCCCACTTTTGTGGCAGAAAAATGTTCTTCTGCAGCACAGATAATGACTCTCTAGCAAGCCCATCTTGGAGCCGGAGTCCTGCGATGGAGGCTGAAGGTGCTCTTCTAGTGCCAACCAGGGAAGGGCCCATGTGGACAGGCCTCTTAGTGCTGAGGAACCAAGGTCAATGTGACTCAGGTCCATGCTAGTTGCACAATTATATTTAACCACATGTTTCTTCTGCTGTAGCGGGATATCGCTGAGACTTCGAAGTCGATAAACAGTAAGTACAAACCTACTGGGTGCTAGACGCTGGGGATCCAAGGACAAAAGGGAGAGACCCCCCCTGCCTTCAAGGTCTTCTCTGCCACAGGATGGATAAGCAAATATAGGATATGTGCAAAAGCAATACCAAGTGATTTGGGGGGTGTGGGGCAGGCCTGACAACCAGTGGTGCCAGGAAAGGTCTTTTGAAGGAAATTTCACCTGAACTGAGCCTTTGAAGAGATCCCAGTAGAGATTCCAAGAGGCAGTTTTTGGAAGCTAGAAGACAGGGAGAGCATTTCAGCCCTGGGAGAAAGCCAAAAGCAAACAAAAAAGTATAAAAAAACCCAGAGAGGTGAGAGAGAGAATATCATGGTTTAAAGAACAGCCAAAATGGCTGAATCCTGGAGGCAGTGGAGGGGCGGGGGAAGTGTGTGCTATGTAATCAGCCTGAGAAGGTGGACTAGAACTAGGCTGGGAAGTACTTTCAATGCCATGGGAGTTTGTATTTCATCCTTTAAGCACCAGAGAGTTACAGGGGATTCCTGAGCAAGGGAGTGACATGGGCAGACCTGTGCTTCAGAAATATCAACCAAACAGCTGTGTGGAAAGGGAACTGGAGAAAGGAAAAGATGAATAGGTGGCCCAAGTATTTCTTAAGCATTTACCTTGTGCCAGGCACTGTGCTAAGTGCTAGGGATGCAAATATAAGCTCTCAAGGAATTCCCTCTAATAGGGGAAGACAACCAGAGAGGGGATCTGGTAAGGGTGGCCGGTAGCTATGTACACAGCAGCATGGTATGGAGATGGTTTAGAAGTGGTATGGAGACCTGGTTTCTGGCAAGGTAAGGCTACAGCTTATATGTCAGAGCCAGGGGACTCAGGTGGAAAGCATGGTTCTGGAGCTGGGGAGAGCAGTACAGGGAAAGACCAGTGAGGAGGCCATTGCAGTAACACAGGCAGATGATAAGGGTCTGCTTGGATTGGGGTGCTTGGGAAGGCAGTGGAGGAAAGGGGGATAAGGACTTGGATGACAAGACAGAGCTGGCCACAGCCAGTAGTGCAGCCAGCCAAGAAAGTGTCAGGTGGGCCAGAGGTCAGGACCAGAACAGTCAGATCAAATAAGGAGGCTCAAGCAGCCTCCCTAGAGGCTAGACAGATAAAGGTTGGGTTCTGAGGGTTCAGGCTACAGGACTAGACAGGTTAGAAGACTGGAGAGAAAAGAATCATGGACCTACCTGATAAGTCTGAGCACTGAGGTGGGGACAGTGTCTGCATTCAAGTAAGGGTTCCCAGTAGCTGGCACCCAGAGCAAGAATGGAGCCAGGGGCTTAGGAGCTGGTCTCTGTACTTGTGGTAGACCTTCGGTTCTTAAAGGAATTGAAGTCCCAATCAGTTTACTTTAGGCTTGGGCTATCTGGTAAGAACCAACCCTACGTATAGGTAGACATCATTCATTATGAAGAGCAAAGAAAGAGGCAAAACAGGAAGTCAGGGTAATGAGGCAAGATGACACTGTGATCAGATCCTCTTATTGCTACTGGCAAGGTACTTTGAGAAATCAAATGGGTCCCAGTAGAGCATCTTATTGAGCTCTCATTGACCAGTTGTATGAATGAGTTTAGAAACTTGATTGGTCACAGCTGCTCTGCTCAAGGATATCCCTCTCCTCTCCTCTCCTCTCCTCTCCTCTCCTCTCCTCTCCTCTCCTCTCCTCTCCTCTCCTCTCCTCTCCTCTCCTCTCCTCTCCTCTCCTCCTCTCCTCCTCCTCTCCTCTCCTCTCCTCTCCTCTCCTCTCCCCCCCCCCCAGAGCGCTTCCAAGGTGGAAGCTGGCCATAGCATTGCCTACATAGCTGACTGCTGTCTGGCCCTGACTCTCTCTTAAAGAGAGAATGCTTCTGTCACCAAGGCCATCATGAACTGTGAACTTTATCGTTTCTCTCATTTCCTTCTTCCAGATTTGGAAAAACAAAAGTTGCTTGCAATTTTTCTTGATCTTCCTTGTCATATACTAAGCAGAGAAGGCCTACTACATCACCTGCTTGAGTGTTTAAAAGGTTTCTATTCTTTGGCAGGAAATTCTCCTTTAGAATGGAATAAACTGCCTGTGTTTTGTTGTCTTTTTTTAACTACAGAAGATTGGTGTAGTGTCTCATAGTCTAGATATTAATTTCCATCCGCTATTAGGTGATGCTCAAGGTATATGGCAAGAAAGTCTTCCATTTAAGCATTCATTTTATTTCTTTCACTGTTATGTGTGAAGTTCTTTGTCTCTGGCCTGGCTTTCACAACTGGGGTCATTCATACTCCTAGTACCTGATAGCAGCAACGCCTTAAGAAATAACTCCTTATAGTTGTTTGTACAAAGGGGACACACACACACATATATGCATACACACACACATATATATGCATATATACATATATACACATATACATGCACACATATTTATACACACACATAAGAAAATGGCCCTCTCCTTCTACCTGACGTTCTGCGAAGATTAGCAAAGGGAATGGAGGAGAGAGCCTGGATTTTAATATGCTTGAGCAGCTTACTGGTTACCCAGTTAATTGTTTTTAATACAGCATACTTTTAGATCAGGAAATGACTAAAAATATTCCCAAAATGCCACATCCTGGGGCATAGGGGTGATTGACACCATTTAAATGAGAACTGGCAGTGAACACAGACTAATGAAGCCTAGACTGCTCCCCCGCCAAAGCAGTTTCTGTGTTCTTCCTCTATTCCTTTTGGTAGACTGAAACTTTGGAATTTGCTTCTGGCAAGATTGGTACAATTGTTTTTTGTTTGACATTGTGACTGTCAGATCAAAGTAATTATTAATGAATTTTCTAAGCCAACCTAGTGTATTTTTTATTCCTAAAAGAGAGAGAGGTTTGAAATCTAGGTAATTATTAGAGGACTCTGTAATAAATCTTGATTATGCTCCTATTGTATGCAGAGTACCTGCTAGGCCACTAGGGAAGGTACAAAGTTTAGAGAAGATAATAGCTCTTGAGGTTGGGAGCTCTTAACATTCTAGTATGGATGGTAAGACACCTATAGGAATAGCCATACTACACCATGTGACGTGGGGACTTTGTCAAAGACCTGTAAAGCTCAGGGCTATGTGAGACTTGTAGAACAAGGTCATTAACAACTAGGGGAACAGGGAAGGCTTCCTGGAGAAGGAGGCTTTTCATTGGAACATTAAAGAAGTTCCTCGGACAAACAGGAGGGAGGCCATGCCATGTGTGAGGCACAAGAGTCCATATCAGGGCCAGGAGGCAGAGCCATTTAGTCTGATGGGAGCATAGAATTTTTGGATATAAGTCCCAATACAGCAGGCCAGAAAAAGGCATGGTGTTAAGCTGTGGTGGGTTTTGAAGAATGACAGCTAGAAGAGTGTCTTTTATTCACTCTTCCCTCTCTCCAAACCATTCTTTATGAAGCTACTTAGATAATGTTCTTAAGTCACAGACATGTCTGACCATCTTACTCTCCTGATCCAAAATGTACAGGGGCCTCTTATTGCCTTGAGGATAAATGACAAACTTTGTAGGCTGGCATTTAAAGCTCTCCCCATCTCCACAAGGCTCTGCTGTACCCCTAATGTCACAATATTCCCCTTTTTGTCATCTATATCCCAGCTGGACTGTACCAGCAAGTGTTCCTGCATTCAACACTTAAGAGGCCCCAATTCTGGGAAGATTGACCTGACTTGCCCCGGTGGTTAAGGTTTTCTTTTTAAAGCTTCCTAGATGAGTTTGTAAGAAATGTCCCTTGGTCCCCTTACTACCTATTGGAACTTAATCGTCAGGATATGTCTTGCAGCCCCTCAGCAGGACCCAAAGTCTATGAGGATAGGGCCTCCTTTTGTGTTCATCTGTGTACTCACAGTGCTTTGGAAAATTTTATTTTCATTTTTTAAATTTTGTTTTGCTTCCTTTTTTTCTTTCTTTTTCTTTCTTTCTTTCTTTCTTTCTTTCTTTTTTTTTTTTGGACAGAAGAGTAATATCACCAGATCAGTGCATTTAAAAGATTCTTTTGGCCTGAGGAGCAGAGAAGAGAGGTGGGAGTAAGCTATTATGAGTCTGGGTAGCTGATAAGGAGGCCCTAAATTATTAGCAGTACTACTGGGGGAATGGAGAGCATAGTAGACAGATGCAGGAGATGTTTGGAAGTGGAATCAGCAGGACCCTGGTAGCTGACTGGCTAGGAAAAGTCATGAAGACAGAAAAGTCCAAAGTTGACCCCAAGATTACAAACCTGGGAGGCTGTGTGTGTGAATGGTGCTACTACCAACAGAAACTGTAAAGTCAGGGAGAGTAGGTGGTTTTTTCCCCCTCCATAGAATCAGAGGATTTCAGAATTCAAAAGAGACCTCGAATCTAGTTAGTCCAACCCATATGCCCCAAAGGATCCCCAGTGCAGCATGCCCAACAAGTGATCTTTCATCCTTTGCTTAAAGACCTCCAAGGAGGGAACCAGTCACCTCTCAGGGCAGCCAATTATACTTTGGGACAGCTCTGTCGGCCTTTCCTTGACATTGAGCCTCTTTACAACTTCTACCTATTATTGCTCCTAGTTTGGTCCTCTGGGACCAAATAACAGAGCAAGTCTAAGCCCTCTTCTATATCACAGCTCTTCAAATACCTGAAGATGGCCATTTTGCCCTACCTCACCCAAGTCTTTTGTCCTCCTCATTTCCTTCAACCATTCATCATATAGTATGAACTCAAGTCCTTCCACTATCCTGGTTGTCCTCTGGATATTAACTAGCTTCCATACACTGTGGTGTAAAGGCCACAGAAGTTTTCTCCCCTCCCACGGGATTAAATCTTGATCTTGAGTCAAACAGAGTCCCATTCCCTTTTCCCCCTCTCCTTGACACCCTTTTCTAAACTCTAGAATCTCAGAGATTGGACTACGTGACCCCTAAGACCTTTTGAATCTCTTATCCAGGAAGGAATCCACTCTACAAAACAAGTGGTCATTCGATTCAAGGCCAACATTAGAAGGAAATTTAATTCCCGTTCAAAATTCTTTGCTTTATACCTACAGGTTGATCATGAAAAGTCATCGCTATTAAGTAGTATAAAAGAGTTGCAGACACAGCTTGATAGTACAAAGGATGCGCTGTCCAAACAGCAAGCTCAAAATAGCTACCTTCTTGAGCAAATCCAGGCTTTAAACAAACGGTACGGCAGTAATGAGCTGGGTTTGCTCTTTGGAAAAGATGGAGAGAAGAGCGACGGCAGTGAACTCCATAGTCTGGAACACAAATGTGCAGGGTCAAATTGCTCCCAAGTAGCCAAGCTGAAGACAGAACTTCAGGAGCTGCATCAGAAATATGAGGATTTTGAAGCCAAGTACAAGCAGGACAATGATGCCTGGCAAGAAGAGTCTCAAAACCTGACGGAGAAGATAAGATTCTGGGCCAAATCAGGTAAGCAGAAGCAAGAGATCATTACTAATCTAGAGAATGAGCTTCAGGCTTCAAGGAAACGGGCATCAGAATTTCAGAGCAAACTGAGCCTAGCCCAGGAGGAGCTGCAGGTGATTAATGAAGATCTGGCCAACATGTACCGCCGAGTCTGTGTCTGCAACAACCTGTTACCTGATCGTAGCCTATTAGATGGCTATAAAGATGGCCAAGAGGCCCCTGTCCATACCTGCAAAAGGCATGCCAATGATGTCGTGGCCAATGATGGCGTGGCCAATGATGACGTGGCCAGTGATGACATGGCCAATGCTCGTATGTGCCGAAGCCAGTCTAATGATCTCTTTGTGAAAGTCTTGTTTAGCCCTGACACAAGCAGTGTGAAAAGTGGCAGCAGCAACCAGTCTGTTAGTGATTCTCCTTGTGAGTCTGATGAAGAAGAGTATGAAAAGGAACCTGAGAGTCTTTCCAACCAGATTTCCATCATTGGAAGCCAGGTGAAGCAACTCCAGTCAGCCCTGGCAATCTCATTGCGCAACAAGTCCCTTGAAGCCATGTCAACAGAGTTGAAGGATAAAAACGCTCTTGTTGATGAAATAATGAAATTGAAGTCTTTGTTGAACACCCAAAGAGAACAAATAGCAACTCTGAGGACTGTCTTGAAGGCCAACAAGCAGGTAAGCTATCGGTGAAAATCCTGGGCACTTTGAGCACTACTCAGACATGTCACGTTTGCTTCTAGAGCAGAGGCAGAAAGAAACAAGCTAGGAAAAACAGATTTAAGGACTCAAAGATGACTTTTTGTCAGGTTGGAAAAAACAGGCAACTGGATGTATAGCATCCAAAAGACCATTTATTTCTTTTTCTTTTTGAAGTTAAAATAATTCAACATGTTAACTTGGAAAGATATAAGGAATAGTTGACTTTTTCTGGTTTCTACTGCTTTAAGGTGTTATTACTCCAACAACGTACAAAATTACTTGTCAGTGCCTGTGTGCAAGTTATTACTTGTGGTACCCAAGGCTTATAGTGATGGGAATTTAGCTAACTTGTGGACTAGCCCCCTGGGTAGGTTAATCTTACAGTTTTGGTTAAAATTAGTGACTATAATTATCCCTTCCACATCTTGACTTTCCCCATTACTGTTTTGCTATATAAAGGGTTGGCATAAGAAATTTAATGGGAATTTTTGGGAAGTTTTGTGGAAGCCACAGATGGCACTTGGAGGCCAGCAGACGACACAGAAAAATTTAGAAACCCAGAAATGCATAAAATATATGTATAGTATTGTATAACATCAACATATTTTATCTTTTAATACCATAATAATTCAGACTTCTTCTCTGGTACAAAGGGAGGGTCAAAAAATTTTATGTGGATTTTCTAGATTGCAGGGCACCACACTCCTAATCCCCTTGATATGGAAGGGATAACTGTGGTGGGTTAACAGTAAGTAACTACCATCACGTAAAGTATGTTGAGAAATTGGTTCACTTGGTTGGTAAAATCAAATCAATAAGCATTTATTAAGCATTCGCTATGTGCCAGGCACTGTGCTAAGCTCTAGAGAAACAAAAAAAAAATTTTTAAAGAAAGCTAAAATACAATTCTTGTCCTCTGGGTACTCACATACTAATGGAGTAGCCAACACACAAACAATTATGTACATGCAAGATAGACAAAGGGTAAATTGGAATATCAGAGGGAAAATACTGGCATTGGAATGGGGGACCAAATTGAACTACTTCAAGCTGTGATAGGGCTTGGCAAATTCTCCATTGCAGCTTGCCAGTAGACCCATGTTTTTTTCTTTCTCCCCTAGGCTGCTGAAGGTGCGCTTTCCAATATGAAACGCAAATATGAAGATGAGAAGCTTGTGGTGTCAGAAACCATGAATAAATTAAGGCACGAACTGAAAGTTCTGAAGGAAGATGCTGCTACTTTTTCCTCCCTTCGGGCGGTGTTTGCCAGCAGGTAAATTTCAGCTCTGTCTCTTCTCTGTTTCCAAAACTCCCCCAAGACTCTTGTGAACTCTCTTCCTGGTTGTGAGGCAACACAGAGCTTGGGCCGAGTGAGAGATTTCCAGTCTTTGATTGCCCTAAAGTGAGCATGTGCCCCCAAACTAATCTTTGCACAGTGTATGTGCGTATGTGTGTATTGTGTATGTGTGGCGTATGTTGATGAGGGGAGAAAGGAGAGACCATGTACTTTTTCTTCTCAGAGAAGACAATGCATACATAAAACTGTTCCTACCCATGTTATCCATACCTCCCATCACTAGTCTAAACACGAGACACTGTGTGAAAGAACCACCAAGTGAGAATTTGATTCTGACTTTGCTAGTAACATTCTGTGTGATAGTGGACAGATCAGTTGGCTTGCATCTCTTTGTTTTGCTTAACTGTAGAATAGAGGGGGGTGCTGCCTTCTTAGCACAGTGTGGTACCTGATCCCTTTCTTGTAAGCTACCTTCAGCAGGTGTATTCATATGAATACTTACTGCTAAAGCATTAAGAGAATCCCATCAAGAGAATGACACTGGTAACCTCGACAGTTGACCTTGCCTAGGAGCTTTCTTAAAACCACGACTGTGTTTGACTGAGTTTCCTCATGCAGCAGTTTTTTGATATTTTCAGTCAGAAGGATGTAGCAAAGAGCAGTGGACCCAGGGCTTAGCTAGGTTTGCACCCTTGGCTCATGCTTACTAGATGTGGGATCTTAGATGAGTCACATCCCTTTTGTGAGGCTTCCTTCATTTGAAAAATGGAGGCAACAATCCTTGACTAGCAAACTCAGTGCTGTGAGAAAAGAGCTTTGTAAACTTTAAGACACCACTCAGATAGGAGCTGTTATTATTTATTGACTGGAAGTTTGCCTTAAGATGGGAGTCTCTAGCCTTTTTGATGGAAGGATTGATTTCCCCCTCCCCCCTTTACTTCTCTGAATTGAGAAGAACTATATTGAGGTTATAAGTGGGGCAGAACTGTGTTCTTTACAAGGACAAGGAAACAACATGGCAGCTGCTGGCCCATGGGTGATCCAGTTGGTCCTTGATGATAAATGGGGTGAGTGTGATTGCCTGCTTGAGGACCCATGCCTGAAGGGAGACTAGAGATGTGTAGGTAAAGCGATCTGCGGGAGGTGCTGAATTACCTTTTTTTCCTTCTTTTGCAGGTGTGATGAGTATGTTTTGCAGCTTGGTGAAATACAGCAGCAGCTTGCTGCCGCAGAAGATGAAAAGAAGACCTTGAAGTCTTTGCTGAGCCTAGCGATTCAGCAGAAACGGGCACTGACTCAGCGCTTGGAGTCATTGGAAACACAGTCCACTCTGCCGCTGAACAGCCGGGCAAAGCTTATTTCTGACCCTAAAGGGAGACCATTCAAAAGTAACTGGGTATGACACATTTGCTCAAGTACTGAGCTAGGAGGTATGGAGGTGGGGCGCTTCTACACAGTGAAGATTGTGGCTGAGGGTAGCTGGTGAACTTTTCATTGGGTTTATTGATTGCCGTAACTCTAAGGGGCCTCTCTTGATGAGATTCTTCTCATAAGTGTGTTTTCGGTCCTTGACTCAACAACTGGTCCATAATTAAGCTGATGGCGTGTTCCCACAGCCGAGCTCCGTAGTTCTTTAATCATCTTACTTAGTTAAATACTTGACTCTTCAGGAGCTTTCTGATCATGAATCATGTAATCTGGCTGGGAAATTACTTTTATTGTGATATAACCTCATCACCTCTATAGTGGTTGTCCCAATAAATCTCTCCACTAGCCATAGAATAATGTTGCAGTGAGGCTTTTGAACTTAGAGTAGGAAGTCCCCTCTTATTTCTTAAAATAAGACAATTTAGAATTTTATATGCTAACATATTGAAAATATTCGGTCACAGATGCTTGCCTAATTTTCATTGCTGTGTTTTTATGTTGTTTTTTTCCTCCCAACCTCCACCAGCGATAAATGAATTAGCATAAAGAAGGAAGGATGCCCCCCCGTTTTCCAGCAGAGGGGAAGTAACAGTGTTTACAAGCAAACGGATCTGCACAAGACTGGCATTACCATTGAGATCATCCAGCTTATCAGCTTTAAATGGTTGTCCAAGAGTGTTTAGTGTCTTTTGGCAAGATATTCAATGTGTTATTTCAGTTATAGTGAAAATATCTATAATTATTTTGAAAATGCAGGCCATTTAGAAATGATGCTTGAGATTATATTGTGTTTAAGAGCTACGTTCTGCTGAGATATCAGTGGGCCTGCAGTTCCAGTTGCCAGTAGTATTGTCCTGTGACTCCTTTGTGAAGAGTACCATATTCCCTGTTCCCATATTCATGTGTGAGCCTGTCTCCTCAGAAAATGTTAAAAAATACCAAACCTTGATGTCGCTCCTCTACTATGACTAATTGCTGTTGGCTTTCGAGTCCATTTCAAGCAAGACATAAAACCTTGCATGTCTTTCTGTTTACAAGTTAGTTTCTGTATAATTGGACATACACTTGGTGCTATTTGTACGGTGTTAGAAATTGTCTGCAAAAGTAGTTTCTATCAGTGTACGAGTGTACTACGTACTGTTTTAAACTTTAAAAAATGTATTTGTGCAAATCCTAAATGGAATGGATTGTTCTAGGGGTATTCAGGCAAAGAGCTTTGTCATCTAAGGCCCCTGAATAAGTGACAGGTATTTGGGATGCTTGGAAATGCTGGAACTTGCTTTGATTCTTGGGTACAGGGGACGTTTTTGGAAAGGGAAGGTTCCAAATGCATGACTCCTTCTAGGTGAAAGCCATTTGAAGCCCAAAGAGGGTGGATTCTTAAATTCAAGGATTAATCAAGTTACCCTGGTAAGGGGCTGCTTTGTGTAGAGTCAGAATTGTATAGTTTTTGTGGAAAGGTCTCTGGGTTTTTTTCCTCCTCCAATCCAGTCAGTCCCTTTAAGGTTGGGAATTAGCCATCCACAGTTCTTAATGGGATTCTTTGGATTCTGCCTGTATCTTCTCTTGGGGGAAAAAAAGTTAAACGATGGGATATTGCATTCTTGCAGAGGATGTTATTTTGGTAACCCACTTTTTAAGCATCTTTAATAAGAGGGAACACTTTACTCTTCCTTTTCCTTTTTAAAGCGCATGCTGGGTACAGACTGAACACCTCAAGAGAGTTGGTGACTTGAAGGGTGGGTGGTGCTGTCAACCACACACCCCTAAACGCTTAGTATTAGTTTGTGAGCCTTTGAGTATTTTCAGTACCAGAATGTGTTCTTGCCAGACTGCCAGCTGGCTGCAAGGGGTACAGAAAGCTCTCTTTAACTAGATCAGCCTGGCAAGAGATGAGAGAATAGTTTAAATGGAATGAAAGTATATATACATATATTTTTAATGGAAATATTTAGAGATCTATTGTACTCTGTGTATGAAATAACACTCTAAATCTCCCCCCTCAATATAATGCATGTTGAAGAGTCTTTTGTGTAAAGAATGAAACATAAATAAATTGTGTTAGTTGTCTGCATTTCTGGTTTTCTGAGCCTGATGTCTTTATATTTGAGGCCACTGCCTCATTACATGTAATAAGCCACATTCTCATACAGCAAATACTGGGACCAAAAAGCAGTTAGAGCTAGGGGCCTGATATTGGGCACACTCCCATCCAGCCTAACTGGGAAACGCAAGCAGCCTTTTGGGTCGCAATGAACGTCGATTTCACCTGTAGCTTATTTACAGAGACTCTCCAACCTAGTGGGATGAGTGAGACTAGATGCCTTCACTTCCCCCCATTCACTACTGTAGGGTACTATCCATGAAGGTCTCCTTCTTGGTTCATTGTCTTTCGAATTTGTTTTACAAAAGACCAGCTAACTACCTTTCCTATCACGTGACCGAAGGGCTTTTTGACCATCACAAAGCCCTCCCTAGAAGGTGCTATTTGTAGTTTAGACACTCTGGTTTCCATGGCTGATGTCTTATCCAAAGAATTAGGAATCCTGTTTCCCAGTATTACCTACAAAGACAAAATCCCCCACCTTTCAGGGGATAGCTGTGTGAGTGTTACAGAAAGCTGGTGTTGGTGGGTTTTGTTGAAGAGGGGAAGGATTAAGCCGTGGGGGATAGGGGTGGGGAACTAGCTGCTTTTGAAAGGAGATCAAAGAGCCACCTGCCCTTCTCACCTGTATGTGAGGTACATTGAGTCTATTCCAGAAGAGTCAGTTAGTAAACATTAACTGAACACCTGCTCTAGGCCAGGCACTGTGCTAAGTGCTAGGCATACAAAGAAAGGTAGACAACAACTCCTATCCTCGAAAAGTTTATGGTCTGATGGAGAAGACAATATGTAAACCAGCTATATATAGGATACATTGGGGAAAAAAATCAACAGAGGAAAGGCGTCAGAATTACGAGAGATCAGAGAAGACTTCCTTTAGAAGGTGTAATTTTAGCTGTGACTTAAAGGAGTCCGGGGAAGCCAGGAGGTAGAGATAAGGAGGGAGAGCATTATAGGTAGAGGGGACAGCCAGTGAAAATGCCCAGATTCGTTCCAAGTCATGTGAACAACAAGATGGTGGACTAGAATTTTTCTCCAATCCCCACAACCTCTCAAACCTCTCCAAAACAGAAATGATGGACCAAAGATAAAGTGGCTTCATCTATTTCCATGGTCGAGGACACCTACAATCCGAAAGAAGGTTTTTTTTTTTTGAAAAAGAGAAACCCCAACCTCAGAAAACTTATGCTTGTGGATCTCTAGCTCACTCTGCATTTCTCCCCTACTTCCCAGGCTAAAGGCAGTGAAGTTGCACTGGCAGAGTCAAGGGCAGAACATCAAAATCCCCTCTTACACTTCAGTCCCTGATCCTTCTTTCCAGTACTGCAGTGACCTCAGGTTCAGGCTGTGGAAATTTCCTCAGGCCTTGATAGTCAGCTGAAAGCCCTTCAGGAGCAAAAGCCCACCCCAGGCTGCAACCTGGAAGCACCATCACTGCAAAGCTCTGAACTGTTGGTGCTGGGCCATTAGGACAAATATAGTCCTAATAAGTAAACCAGGGATCGATAGAGCACCAAAAGAAAACTATAGGTCAACATTATTAATGAAGAGTGATTCAAACATTTTAAACAAAATCCTATCAAACAGATGATAGCAATTTATCCAAGAAATCATTTATTATCATCAAGTAAGATTTATACCAGAGATGCAAAGATGGTTCAACATTAGGAAAACAATGTAATTAATCATATTAAAAACAAAAACATCCAAAACCACATAATCTCAATACATACAGGGACAAGTCTTTGAAAAAGCACATTTTTATGCTGAAAATCCTGTAAAGTATGGCCATAGAAAGACTTTTAAAAAATATCAAGCATCTATCTACAACCAAAATCAAGCATCATATATATGAGATACACTAGAACCTTTTCCAATAAATAGAGTGAAGCCAAGATGATCACTCCCCCCTACTATTATTTGATATAATTCTGGAAATGCTAGCAAAAGAAATAAGACAAAAGAAAGGAATTAAAAGAAAAAAGATAGGTAAAGAGGAGATAAAACTATGTTGATGATTATGATGGTTTCTTGGAAAACTGCAGGGAATCATTGAATATACTAATTAAGAAAATTAATAACTTCAGCAAAGTTGCAAGCTACAAAAGAGATCCTCAAAAATCAACAGCATTTCTATATCATAGTAACAAAACACAAGAAGCAGTAATAGAAAGGGAAATCCCATTCAAAATAACCACAAAAATGCATAAAATATCTGGAGATCAGTTTCCCAAAGCACAGAAAAGATTTGTATAGATTCAATTACAAGGCACTCCTTAAAGAAATAAAGGAAAACCTAAAGAGCTGGAAAAATATTCCATGCTCATGGCTAGACTGTGCCAATATAATAAAAATGACTATGCCCCCCAAATTAACTTACACTTTTAATGCTATACCAATCAAATTACCAGGAAGATACTTTACAAAGTTTGATAAAATAGTAACAATTCATTTAGAAAAACATGAGATCTAGAATATCAAAGGAAATGGTAAAAAGAAATAAGGATTAAAGGAGAATAGTACTTCCAGACTTCAGACTATATTACAAAACATCAGTCATCAAAATCATCTGGTATTGGTTGAAGAATAGAGAGATAGAGAGGGGCAGAGCCAAGATGGTGGAGTGACAGCAGTGACTTGCTTGAGCTCTCCCCCAAACTCTTCCAAATACCTATAAAAATGGCTCTAAACAAACAAAGCAGCAGAACACACAGAAAGACGGAGTGAAACAAATTTCCAGCCCAAGACAACTAGATGGTTGATCAGAAAGGTATATTGCACTGGGCTGTGAGAGGAGCGCATTTTGGCATTGGTGAACAGGCCTCAGCGAACCTGGAGCAGGCCTCAGGGGACTGAATCACGGGCAGCTGTGGCGGCTTCCAGACTTCTCAATCCAGGAATGTCAAAGACAACTTAGAAGGTCAGTGGGAAAAGTCTGTTTCTGCGGTGAGAGAGGAGCTAAGTTTCAGCCCCAGTTCCCTAGCATGGCCTGGGGCGGCAGCTGCTTCCTGAGCTTCCAGCCCACAGACTGAAGGGGAATCAGGTGGCTGATTAGAGGGGGATTGCAGGGATCTCTCTGCTGGTACAGGATTCTCTTGCTTTGCCAGTGCTTCGATCTGGGTCCAGTTCTGGGTGGTGGTCCTGGGGCAGGCAAGGAGGAGCGCTGGCATGGTGGAACTTGTAGTGGTGGTACAGAGAAAATCTTCCTCACAGTTTCAAGACAGAAAAGAGTGCTTGTGGTCACTCATAGACCAGAGCACAGGCCAGGAAAGGAGTAAACACCTTGCCCCTTATCATACCACCTTGGAAGAACTGAAAATTTACAGGTCCCTAGAAGTATCTCTGAAAACAGCTGTACAAACCCCCAAAGCTTGGGACAGTCTGTTCTGCACATTGGAAGCAGACTTCTACCTTAATAAAGAGTTTATAACTCAAGTAATTGGCTGAGATCATGAGCAAACCTCGCAAGAAGTGTCAGACCATAGAATCTTTTTTTGGTAACAAAGAAGATCAGAACATATAACCAGAAGAAGACAACAAAGTCAAAGCTCCTACATCCAAAGCCTCCAAGAAAAATATGAATCAGTCCTAGGCCTTGGAAGAGCTCAAAAAGGATTTTGAGAAGCAAGTAAGAGAAGTAGAGGAAAACCTGGAAAGAGAAATGAAAGTGATGCAAGAAAACCATGAAAAACAAGTCAGCAGCTTGCCAAAGGAGACCCCAAAAAATACTGAAGAAAATAACACCTTAAAAAATAGCCTAACCCAAATGGCAAAAGAGGTCCAAAAAGCCAATGAGAAGAATGCCCTAAAAAGCAAAATTGTCCAAATGGAAAAGGAAGTCCAAAAGCTTACTGAAGAAAATACTTCCTCAAAAATTAGAATAGAGCAATTGGAAGCTAGTGACTTTATGAGAAATCAAGACACTGTAAAACAAAACCAAAAGAATGAAAAATTAGAAAACAATGTGAAATATCTCATTGGAAAAACAACTGACCTGGAAAATAGATCCAGTAGAGATAATTTAAAAATTATTGGACAATCTGAAAGCCATGATCAGAAAAAGAGCCTAGACATCATCTTTCAAGAAATTATCAAGGAAAACTGCCCTGATGTTTTAGAACCAAAGGGCAAAATAGAAATTGAAAGAATCTGCTGATCTCCTCCTGAAAGAGATCCCCAAAGGAAAACTTCTAGGAATATTGTAGCCAAATTCCAGAGTTCCCAGGTCAAAGAGAAAATATTACAAGCAGCCGGAAAGAAACAATTCAAGTATTGTGGAAACACAATCAGGATAACACAAGATTTAGAAGCTTCTACATTAAGGGACCAGAGGGCATGGAATATAATATTCCAGAAGGCAAAGGAGATAGGATTACAACCAAGAATCACCTACCCAGCAAAACTGAGTACAATCCTTCAGGGGAAAAAAAATGGTCATTCAGTGAAATAGAGGACTTTCAAACATTCTTGATGAAAAGACCAGAGCTAAATAGAAAATTTAACTTTCAAATACAAGACTCAAGTGGAACATGAAGAGGTAAACAGGAAAGAGAAATCATAACAGGCTTATTAAGGCTGAACTGTTTACATTCCTGCATGGAAAGATGATATTTATAACTCCTGAGACCTTTGTCAGTATTAGGGTAGTTGGAAGGAAAAAAATTATATGTATGTATGGATATAGATAGATAGATAGATAGATAGATAGATAGATAGATAGATAGAGGGCACAGGGTGAGTTGAAGATGAAGGGGTCATATCTGGAGAATAAAATTAAGGGGTGAGAGAGGATTATACTAGGAGAAGGAGAAAGGAAGAGGTAGAACGGGGTAAACTATGTCACAAAAAAACAGAAAAGAAAAGGCTCTTACAGTGGAGGGGAAACAGGGGAAGGTGAGAGGGAATGAGTGAATTTTATTCTTATCGGATTTGGCTTAAGGAGGGAATAACATACACACTCAATTGGGTAT